TTAACCAAGCAAACAAATGAGGATGTTTTGTTACATTTTGTACAACGGATCACATCTGTTTACTGTGAAATCGTTTTGGTTATACATCTTCAGTCCGATTCGTTGTCTGAAAATCGTTTTGGTTATACATGTACATGTTCTAACGGTGTGGACCTCGGTTCCTTTGTATCATTAAAACAAATAATTAGAAATTATAATAGATAGATAGGTAATATCAATCTATAGTCATATGATACAATTAGTTTATTATCATGACTCCATGAATATCAAGCTTCCAAAATCTTAAAATGCATATGTTGATCATATCAGCATCAATGGTACTAAACATATTGCTAATCTCTTCAGCTTTCTCTCCCCAAGCCACACATGACAGAGATTGTTTCCTATCCACGAGTATTTACATTTAATTTAAAGTAGCTTACCAGCTTCGGTTATATAAATAGTTTAAGTGTGAGTTGAACAGATTTGTACTTTACATACCTTTTATTCTCGATCTGGAATCTAAGTTTCTTGTAGCCTGATCCATGCTCGAAGCTATCAATTTCCGTAATATCGCCAATATCAGTCACTTGTCCTATCAAATCTACCATAATATAACACATAATTATATTATTACCAATTAGATAACAGTGGTTATAGTAATCAAATTTTATTTTTTATATCTATTGATTCTTACCAATCAGATAATATTTGAGCCTGTAGTTTCTTGAAATGGATTCTTAGTTAGCAAACGAGAAAAAAAGTTCCCATTAACATAGTTTGTTAGGTTAACTATGGTTCTACGGAGGATCTCGAGTTTGTAATTATTACAAACCACATTCGATATTCCAATTGCATGTATGACCTTAAAAAACTCGACTACCCTCCATTCCATTTCAGCGAACATATCATCGAATATAGCAATTAGGCGATTAGGAACCGTTTCATGAATCCTTGATCCCTAATAAAAATTTAAACAACCAAAAAAATACAATCGATATATTTAAACAACAAAAAAAATAAATACCAATCCAATCTTGATTTTTATTAATTCATTTAATAATTTCGGTGTATTGAACTGAAGATAATAAGAAATATTATCAAACAAATAAGTGGTTAAAAAAAACAAGTTCTTTTGTTTTGTATAAAATTTAAAAGCGTTTGTAAACAAATATTAATTTCTGCTTATTGTTCATAGCGAAAACTATAATTTTCAGATTCAATTTATAATTTCGTCTACAATTGAAAAAATAATTTCATGACAGATTAGTTAATCGTAACCCTAATCGATCGATTGTGTTGCCAACTTTAGAGATTTAGGGTAAATATTTAAGGACAATAAATATGTAAATATTTAAATAGGATCAATTGTACTATTTACACTAATCTGTTCATCACAAAAAGTCATCTCCATCGTGCGTCCGGATTCCTTTGAATACTCGAACCACTTTCTGAGGATTTTAGTCCGAATCCTCCAACCCATTCTCGATTGATCTATATCTTTGACAAGATTTTGAGGAATCATAGCCATCTCGGATTACGGAAATTTTTTTGGAATATGAGAGGTTTTCTTTTCCTCTTTTTTTTTTAGGTTGTGTATCGTTTTTATTCTAATTTTTTTAACCAATTCCTTTTAAAGTTTGTATCAGAATATATGAAAAATGAAATGTATCAATTGTAAACTGTTCATCACACAAACCGAATCGATTCTGTATATTTTGTTTTGATTTCGTGTTTATTGCACCTGTTGGAAGCAAAACCAATTATCAATCAAATCACTTTATGTTATTTGTAACCTATTTCAAAATTATTTATTTTTAAGTTTAATTTCGTGTATATAATAGATATTTTTGTTTATATTTACCATGTCTGTATATTATATACACAATTAGTGTAAATTAATTATTATATACACAATTAGTGTAAATTAATTGTTATGATTTAAATTTAATATAGTCTATATTGGTTTCATCTTATATGTGTTATCTATATTAAAATGTGTTATGTTTATAC